TTTTTTCGTGTATGTATATGGTCTGTTCATCAGATGAAGTTGCCTAAGTTCTTTCACTTGAAAAGCACAGAAAAAAGACGAAGGCTGGTAGATGTATGCATTTTGTATTGTCTCATCAGTATCATTAAAAATAACCGATATGCATAGATATAGCTAACAGTGGGTGCAACCAGACAGGCTTAAGCTGCAAAACTAATGACGGAACTTCACACCTACGTCCAAGGCAGCTTTAGGCTGACAAATAATTGTTTTGAACACACAAGGCTGGCTTAATCCGGCTTATTGCGACAGCCTCAGCAAACCGAAGGAAGCGCGGATTAGTGTGACATAACACAACTTCAAACGCCGAGCCCAGCTCTATCCAGGGAACCGAGTCTAATAGGTGTTTGCCTATCGAGGAAGCCGGCGGTCTGCGCGAACATGGAATCTGACGAGGGTAGGCAATCTGAGCAACTTCACGTTGAACCCATCTTGGCACATGTTCCTTTATTCGGGAAGTCAGCGTTCTATTGGTTCTGCCTATGTAACTTTTTCCGCAGTCACATACAAATTGGTATACACAGTGTGAGTTGGCCCCAATAGGCTGAGCTTCTTTCGTTGGAGGTATGGGCAAATTTCGGGTTCGGTTGATAACGACAACTTGTGCAGCATAGTAACTTCCTTGTGTAGCAGAAATTATACGCTTAGTTGTCTTCAGCGTGGCAAAGTCACCTTTGAAAGGTAACTCGATATACACTTTCTTCTTGGCTGCCGTGTGCACCAAGTCCTTTGGTCCTCGCGATTGGCTGTGTTTCTCGATAAATCTTTGAGGGTAGCCGTTCGCCATTAGTGTTGCTATAATTAACACTGGCTCATCGTCCAGACAGTCGGCCGGACTAATTCGTCTGGCACGACTAACTGGAGTCTTCACAAGTGTCCGTTTGTACCGCACTGGTGTGAAGCTGGTGAAGTGCAGGTACTGACCGGACCAAGTTGCTTTTCGGTAAATGGACCTCTTAACCCATACATCATCCCTGCGACTTATGAGTATGTCCAGGTATGGCAGACAATTGTTCTGTACTATTTCGCATGTAACCCGTAAGTTAGCATGAGCACCACTTGATGTTGGGACCCGAAGCAGTACAAATCTGGCTCACAGTCTCTCAGTCAGCGGTGCTACTGCATTAGCTTTTTTTGCATCTGGCTGTAAACTTCCATTTCATCCAGATTACATTTGCGCACTTTCTTCTTACTTCCATTTACTTCCTATTCAATTTCCCTTCACCCTCATTCTCCTCCCGTTGTTATTTGTTGTTATTCTGGCGACGCGAATTGTGGATCCACAGCACTTCATTGCCCGGACTAAATTGTTCAAATGAACTGAACTCTCTTTGAACCGGTCGCGTTGAGTACACTTGCGTGGACTTCATCTGTAACCCAATGATCGATAGTCCAGACTGGATATAAGGGCGATTCTTCGTGGATCTTATCGTACATTACTAGAATAACCCCCCGGGCTAATGGGACATAATATGCTATACCCCCCACTAGATAGAGATTGACCGAATCTATCCAGGAAAAGGTAAAAACATCAAGGAAAACTTATTATTTTAGCAATTAATCGACTATCTTTGATCTTACATTGATTTCGAAGATTCCGGAACGTTCCATTCCTTCACGTGTTTGCCAGCATCGGAGTTTTGGCAGAGGCTGCTAATTTTTTCAGTTGACCTTCATTTTTTAGAAGCCAAAGGTCATTGAGCCACCTATGTACTTGGCGTAGGTCTGGCGTAGTGGTACAGCGTTTTGGCGGCGTTTTTGGCTGTGTGGTGGTGTTTTTCTTAACACGTTGTTCGCGGTCATGGTTGTTGAACTTTTGATTTTTCTTCTGCTGGGCTAGAATTTTTTTGCGGGATAATTTTTGTGCGTTTAATTCGGAATAGCGAAAAAATGTGAAGATCTAACAGAATCCGTTTCCAGACTTACGGTGCAATTAATTGGCGTGTACTAACAACACACGGTAACTAAATGGTATTTCAGGCATTCATGAATTTAGCGGATTACTCTTACTTTCTTCCATATGCAGTGGGCTGCCAACGGCCCCTTATTTGACGTTTGGTACGCGGAGACAGACGCTCATTAGATGAAAGCATGCACTATTTACAAGACAGACATAAGGTGAAGTGACTCGATGGGACATTTCTATTACGGACTTCATTTGCTCGGGATTTATATGTATTGGCATTATCCCGGATGCTGTTTGGCTTGGGTCTTTTGTTTAGCCGTACAATAGCCTGTAAGATTCCTCTCCTTAGGACCCCAACTGAGCCACACGGGTGTTGTAGCCAAGGTCGACTCTTCACGTATGTCGTTCTGATTGTTTTTCAGTAAACATTCGGTTGTCACCTCAGATCGTCGGCACTTGAACTGCTGTACGGGATGCTTCATCACTTAATCTGCCCCCAAAACATCTGAACGTTGAAGGGGTCATTCTGAAGCAATAGTGTGTCGCGATTGTGCAACACTGCTTGAACCTTAGCTTAGCAGCCGGGTGCCAATTCCATTCCTCCCGGTTCAATTTGGTCAGACCATTGTTATTAACTACCTTGTTTGCCAATTTGCATGTTACACAGCTAAATCTATTAATCGTACTACTGTGTCAAGCACTACTCGCGGAGGTTAATGGCCTAGCGATTATGGCGATAGCCGCCAAGCACTATGCGCCGAGTTCCACTCCCAGCTCGGCTATCTCTGCCTGATGAATTTAAACAAAGACGTGACCGTCGGTCGTGGAGTGCAGGGATGGGAGAGAGTCACTTCGGTGACGGTCGCAGTACCCGTATTGACAGAGGCTGATTTCAAAGTCAACCGAGGCTACGATTGAGAGTACGGGTCGCAATCCAAGACACGGTGGGTACTCCAAAACCCGAAAATTTACTTCTAACCGCTGTGTCAAACACTTCTCGCGGAGCTCAGTGGCCTAGTGCTCATGACCATAACCGCCAAGCACTATGCGCCGAGCTTCACTCCCAGCTCAGCTATCTCTACCTGTTGAGTCTAAACAAAGCTGAAACCGTCGCTCGTGGAGTGCAGCGATGGGAGAGAGCCACACCGTAACCCTCCACTTCAGTGACGGTCCCAGTGACCGTATTGGCAGAGGCCCCAATTGTGATTACGTGTTGCAATCCAAGACACACGGCGAGTGTTCCAAAACTCGAAAACGATGCTGATATCATCATTCATTGGCTACTTACATGATCAGCTAGAGACACAATCTCCGTTTGGATCTCGGTTTGTTTTGCAGTAAATCTACGTCATTCCGATCACTGAGAACTGCATACGAGGTGGAAAGTAGCTTCGGAGTTGCTGGCTGAGATTTTGCGTCGCAACTCAAATCATCGGTGGCACTCACAACCTTGACATTGAATACCAAACCACTGTGTCAAGTGCAAGCGACAAAATTCGCTAGGAAAGTTCGAGTAACACGTTTCCACAGTGATCAAATCAACAACAAAACCGGAACTGGGATTCGGTGCTATGTACACACACAAGTAAGCCGCAAGAATACCTGTCTCTACCATAACATTTCTAATTCAAATCAGCTACAGTGGCAAGTGCTTCGGCCGGAGAATCAACAAGCTAGGCTTCAGAGTGACTGAGGTACAAAGTGACGGCGTCACAGAATACGACGTACTTATGAGGCCAACGAAATGAGGAGATTGGTTGGGAAGCACCGAAGTCGAATGAGGTCATTCTGTTTACAGCACCCAGAAATAAGCCCACGGACATACCGGGGCAAAGGAGGATGGGGTAGACGCTCTTAAACTGTACAGAACTAGTGTGAAGACGCGTGTGGAGGTCATCGATTGATGGAGTGCGCTGTGCATGAAATTTATGGGAAAATGCACGCAAGGTGGAGGGATAATCATGCAAGTGAACGAAGGCTTTGAAAATTGGTTTGCTGATTAAAACCACCGGACATGGTTGGCATGTTTGGACAAGGAAAATAAAGATTGAGGGGATTTGAAATTCCGACATCCGTATAGCTATCTCACCGGTCCGTAGCCTTAATGATTACAGGCCTGCCTTGTAACCCAAAGGCGCGAGTTCGAGCCTGCGTAGGGACAGGTCGACCCTCGCAGTATACTTAGCTTGCGTGCGACCGGTGGTAGTTGTGCGGCAGCGAAGCGTCCGTACTGCGTACCGGCTTACGGCTGACGCCGTTTTTAATTATTTACCCAGAGTTCTGTTTTCTGCGTACTTATTTAGCTTTTCAAGATTGTTACATTGTTTATCAGAAACCATCATATCTCAACAGACTACTGAGGGAACTTTCTCTAAAACATTCACATGGTCCCATTTTGCTTCGCGAATTTGTGTTGTCATTTATCCCTTGTCATTCATCTGCCTAAGTTTGTTGCTCGATGGTTGGATTAATGTCCCATGTCTAACATAGTTTGGTTTTTGCGATTCGCGTTGTTTCTTCACCAGGTTTTACAGACGTTTATTTTCTCCGTTGTGTTGAGCTGTTAATTTTTCTCCTCCCTGTTCACTGGTTAACGTTCGGATTCTTGGTTCACCCTATTGAGTAAGTAGTAGTCGATTCCCTACCCTTAACAGACCGAAGTCACTTCACACGAATTGACACGGATTGCGTCATCCGCTTAGTTAGAGAGGAATCGTTACTTCTAACGGGCCATTTCGGGATGCGGACACGTGCCTTCGCTGATTATGTCATCGACGCCAACCAGGATCGGAGATACCACCTCATTATGCACCATGACACATGTACGATTAGGTGTCCAGACCTACCCATGGATACGGGTTAGGCGCGGTCATTTCGTAGGCAGGCTACGGAGGATTCCTGTGATTTCACTGTCATGCTAGATGCCACCAACCGCAACGCTATCTGTACCTATATATTTCCACTTTGTTAATGATTTGTTTTGCGATTACAATATTTCTAGTAGCATGCTCGATAATTTTATGTTTACGTAACAGTACATGTGACATTATTTTCAGGTCACGTCAATATACGAATTTATTACAGCTGGCCATTGTCGGTCCCTTAAGTAGCTCCAGGCAAGATGACAACTATTCAGCCGGCATCTCAGGTACATTCTACTGCCGGGGCCGTCCCCATCAAAAATGAGAAAGGTATGTCTAGCAATATGATTCTTAACGCGAATACCACCAGGTCAGATGTACATGTTGAAAGTGAAGGTGCAGCGTTACGTTGCTGGTAAAAAACCTGACTTTGCTTCTAGCTCAAGCTCGGACTCTGACAACGAACAGAATGCACGACAGGTGGAGGAGATTAAAGCATTCTCCTCACGACCTAGTGTAACCAAAGGCAGAGGGAAAAACGAAGATGACGACGGCGAAGGGCAGCTGACCGCCGCTGACTTACAGGACCCTCGGTTCAGACGTCTCGTGAGAGCAAAGGTAACTTTCTGTTGTGTGCATTATATTCTGATGAACCTTGCTAACCTGTTGATCGTTTTTCCGAGCTTGGTAAAAAGATCACATACGTTTCATCACTATGCGAGGTGACGTCTTCAGTGCGGTAATAGGCAGTGTATAATGCTGCTTATTAAATTGTCAGTCCGTCATCCACGCGCAGGTGACTTTTGAAGGTGGCAGTCTCGATTTGCGCCACGTGATCTCTGCCCATTTGCTTCCACGGCTGAACCACGTCTTGCGATTCGCCGGAGATCTTTCTTTCTGAGTTGATGGTACACGGGGTCGATGTCGACGCGCATGTTGATCGAATTATTAGAGGAGTACCATGCTTCTAGGAACTCTCTTCCTTTCTGTGTTGTTGTTTGCCCTAAAATCACCGTTTTGTTACAATTGAAGCTATGTCCCCAAAAATTTGGCATGAAGAGAAAGTGCCTTCCTCTTGGGGCGAATCAGTTATTGTCCCGATTTTCAAGAAAGGCGCTCGCACTTCATGTGCAAATCATCGCGGGATTAGTCTTATTTCGGTTGCCTCTAAGCTATTGGCATCCATTCTGCTGCGCAGACTATCCCCAGTACGTGAATCATTCTACCGTGAAGAACAAGCTGGTTTCCGTCCTGGCCGCGGATGCGTGGATCAAATCTTCACGCTCCGCCAGCTCCTCGAACATTGCTATATTTATCACAGGCCCACTATCATTGCATTTCTAGACATACGTGACGCTTTTGACTCCGTTGATCGACCTACTTGATGGCGTTGCTTGCTTAAGAACCGGGTGCCAGAGAAATATACCGCCATCTTACAAGCACTTTACCTTCAAACATGCAGCAGAGTGAGGGTCTATGGCAAGCTTTCCTCGCAATTCCCTGTCAATAGCGGTGTGGGACAGGGCTGCCCCATGTCCCCATTCCTCTTCAACTTCGCATTCGAAGACGTTCTGTCGAATGCTCTTGAAGGCTTCCAACATTTTGGCTTTGAGCTTCTACCGAGTGAGCGCGCGACCGACTTAGATTATGCTGATGATATCGCCTTACTTGGTGACGATCCTCAGGGTATGCAACTCATTCCGGATCGTTTGGCGGTTGAAGCATCTAAGTATGGCATAAGCTTTGCCCCATCGAAGTGTAAAGTACTGCTCAAGCATTGGCTTTCACCTGCTCCCGTACTCACTCTCGAAGGTGCATAACTTGAACAGGTAGATAGTTTCGTCTAACTCGGGAGCTGTGTTTCTGCTGACGGCACTATCAGCAAAGATGTTTCTCTTCGTATCGCCAAAGCTCGATCAGCATTTGTCAACCTGAGGCATTTGTGGCGTCGTCGCGACGTCTCATTCTCACTAAAGGGCCGCGTTTACAGCGCATCAGTTCGCTCAGTATTGTTGTATGGGTGCGAGTCCTGGCCGATTCGCGTGGAAGACATATGTCGTCTGACTGCCTTCGATAACGGTTTCTTAAGGAGGATCGCTCGTGCCTGGTGGCAAAATCGAGTTACTAGTAATGACCTGGCTGGAAGCGACCGCGTGGTGGTCAGCCTTCCACTTGGCGGCAGCACACGAAATCGCTGACGTGTCTAGCCGCTGTTGGATCCATACGTCTTCCAGGATGGGGACCCAATGATGAGGAGTGCCAATAGCTTAGCACTCTTGAAGATATGGCCCGCAACCGGAATCATTGAAAGAATTGTGTACACTATTGTGTTGATTCACATGTTCAATACTACAAACGTTAAAACGACAAAATAAGAGCAAAATCGGCGTGTGAAAACCAAACTAAAAGTGTTTTGTTTTACTTCTTATCAAAATGTTCCATTTTTCCTGTGGCATGTTAGTTGAAGTGTGTTGCTCACCTTCAGCTAGCATGCCACGATGATTATGACGCGATGAATCTTGCTTATCTGCTGATCCCCATGGTTTTATGCTGCTCTATGTCTAGTTACTAGACTGTTGAGATTACATACATATATATGTCCCTCCTCATCCACACGCGCTGAGACAAGAGACGATGCATAATGTTTTTTACAAGCCCTCTGATGTTCTTGTATTCTTGTGGACAATTTCCTTCCTGTCTGCCCCACATAGTTCATGTTCCCGACTTTTCCACACCTTGGAAAGCAATCTTGCAATTGAGTTCGCCCACCAAGTTTAACACACCGCCGGATGCATTATGTGCAACTTTCTGGGACTCGACCATCTTCGGTCTCTTTATGTGATTCCATGTGCTCCTGGAAATAATTTTGATGTCCGAGGCCGTGTCAAATTGCAGTTTCATTGACATCCCATTTATCAACACACTGATAAATCGCCACCTCGGTTTACACTCGCTTTGGAATGCTGCAACTATGGACAGAGACTCGGTGCCATCCTTTCTAGAATTCCCCTTTCCATAAGACTTCTGCACTGAAGATGCCACCTCGCATGGTGGTGAAACGTATGCGATCTCTTTACCAAGTCGGAAAAACGATCAACAGGTTAGCAACCAAGCCGGGCTACCAGTGTTCCAAATTATTTCTTAAGAACCTTGTTCAGATCAGTAAAATAGTGAGCTGTCTCGCCACACGGTGCTGATATATGACACTCCGAATTGTCGTCCAGGTTCATTCTACACTTTACTCTCTCGAATCCTTTGCACTGGATTGGGACAAAGTATGATGGTGCGTTATGATGTATCTAGGGTTCCACTTAAAAACCACCGCCACGAGCCACCACAACGTGACCAGATGCCGTGTTGCGACGGTTTGCTTAAAATTGTGATCTATTGAGCTATTCTGGACGGCACTTTTGTGGATTTTGAGTGCTCTTCCTACCAGATTCACCGATGGTTAAAGGTTAAACACTTATTTCTGATGATTCATCCTGGGGACCGTTGTAGTATTATGCGGTCCTATAACCAAGCTTTCAGTTGGGTGGTTTGCTTGGGAACCCGAATCTTCCTCCTATCTAGATTTGCATGCTCTGACAACATATTATACAACACAACTGTTTGATTATTCCGTCGGACTTCAGTCTCAACAGGTGTTACCAGCCAGGAGCTTTAAGAGGGCCATTTTATTTATTGCACGCTGTAGTGCGTATAAACGAAAACACTACTGCTGGTGCCTTTAGCGAGAGTAGTTGATTCACGCTCATAGACTTGGTCTATCCGTCTGATTATCGGCAAGTACCGCTCATAATACATCAAAAGAAGACTGAGAATTGATGGGACAAAGGTGTATTGTTGACGTGTACAGTGGTCATATATGTAGCTTAAAAATACGACACCGTAACGACGCGTGCTAGCTCGGGAAAGATGTCCGTGTAGCATGCGATGAAGCGGCGTAGCGAATGCAACCGAAACACCATGTGTGTGTGTGTGTGTATGTGTTTGATGCTCATGGGTCAGACAAACAAATTCAGCATATGGTTCAGCATTCTGCATCGAATATCTAAATGCAAAATAATCTGATTATTTTGTTTAGTATTTTACACAACATACTCTGACACACTGGAGGACTATACAGACCATTACATGATTCCTACCATCGATGTACTACCTGTCGAAATGAAGGATACGCATATGTAGCATCGATGAGGTATTTACTACCACGTTCGCGTCGCAACCGTGCCTGGTAATGCTATTGGTGTTGTTGAAAACCCACCATCGAGTTGCCAGCTGATCTCGCTATTTGCATTCATTGTATGCTCCATAAATGTTTGTGTGCTCTAGTCGATTGTGGTATGGTGCGTATCTAAAATGAGCCAATAGAAAACCATGGAGATCAGAGGATAAGGGAGAGTCATCGCGTCATAATCATCGTGGCATAGTAGTTGTAAGTGAACAACACACTTCAGCTGATATGCCACAGGAAGAAAGGAACATTTTGACAAAAAGTAGAACAAAACAGTTTTAGTTTGTTGTTCACACGCTGATTTTGCTCTTTTTTGTTATTTTAAATGTTTGTAGTATTAAACATGTGAATCGATACAATACTGCACACAATTCTTCCACTGATTCCCGTTGCGGGCCATGTCTTCATGAGTGTTAAGACATTGGCACTCCTCATCTTTGGGCCACCATCCTGAAAGACGTAGGGTCCAATAGCAGCTAAACATGTCAGCGATTTCATTTGCTGCCGCAAAGTGGAAGGCTGACCACGACGCGGTCGCTTCCAGCCAGGTCATTTACGAGCGAATAGAGCGCGACGCGGTAGACGCTCAGGTGCAATGGGTAGGACGTGATCGAGCCATGTCAACTGGCGCAACAAAACCAGTTTGTTGAAGGGAATACTCGCATTCCCTAAGATGCGATGTCGAGCCTCATTACTGTTAACTCGATGTTGCTACCAAGCACGAGCAATCCTCCTTAAGCAACCGTTATCGAAGGCAGTCAGACGACATATGTCTTCCACGCGAATCGGCCAGGACTCGCACCCATACAACAATACTGAGCGAACTGATGCGCTGTAAACGCGGCCCTTTAGTGAGAATGAGACTTCGCGACGACGCCACAAATGCCTCAGGTTGACAAACGCTGATCGAGCTTTAGCGATGCAAAGAGAAATTCTTTGTTGATAGTGCCGTCAGCAGAAACACAGCTCCCAAGGTAGACGAAACTATCTACCTGTTCAAGTTATGCACCTTCGAAAGTGAGCACAGGAGCAGTTGTAATCCAATCCTGGAGCAGTAGTTTACACTTCGATGGAGCGAAGCTTATGTCATACTTAGATGCTTCAACCGCCAAACGATCCAGAATGAGTTGCATACCCTGAGGTTCGTCACCAAGTAAGGCGATATCATCAGCATAATCTAAGTTGGTCGCACGCTCACCCGGTAGAAGTTCTAGGCCAGAATGTTGGAGACCTAGAGCATTCGACAAAACGTTTTCGATTACGAACTTTAAGAGGAATGAGGACATAGAGCAGCTTTGTCATACACCGCTATTGACAGGGAATTGCGAGGAAAGCTTACCATAGACCCTCGCTCTGCCAGATGTATGAAGGTCAAATGCTC